TGCCGCTCGACCTGACCGGAGAAAACCGTAGCAGGAAGCTAGCGAAGTCGTAGTATATATATATATATATCATATATATATATCGTCACAAATATATATATATATATATATATCGTCACAAACAGAACTGCCCAGTAAACCGTAGGCAGAGAGAGAGAAGAGGACAACAAACGAGGGGTTGTGACAAACTGTTTCGTCGGAGTTTCACCGACTATATATATATATATAAATATAAAACCGTACCTCCTTTTATCCCCTTCACCCCAAGCCCGCCCCTCCACACCCCCCCCGCCCTCCCCCCAATACCTGCACCAAAAACACACAAACCACGTTAACCCTCACACCTGTTTACCGCTTGTCACACTTGGGTATAAAGGGGGATGAGGAAAGTGAGGAGGTTGCAGAAGGTACAAAGGTTAATGGGGGTGGGACACCCCCATTCAGCTTTGCACCCCCTACACCCCCCTACTCCTGTCTCTTATACACATCTAGATGTGTATAAGAGACAGTTCCCACACTGCACAATAACCCACCACCCATGGCAAGCGGAGACACGTGGTGTGGATGCTGCCACCGCCTTTTGCAAGGAAGGAACAGTTCAGCACTTTGTGAAGATACATTGTGTGATAAAACAATCGCCGTAGATGCGGAGAGAAGTAGCACCATAAGCAATGTGAAGGCCAAGAGTCAGGAAAAAGGCGTTCCCACAGACTGCCAGCATCTCATATTTGTTGGGAAGCACCTTGAGGATGAAGAGAATCTGGCAGACTTGAACATCCAGCAGCAGTCAGCTCGTCACCTTGTGCTCAGACTGAGAGGGGGGATGATGATCAAGGTCAGGACACTCATGGGAAAAGAGATAGAGATTGACATCGAGCCAACTGATACAATGGAACGAATCAAAGAGAGAGTCGAGGAGAAAACAGGGATTCGCCCGTTCCAGCAGAGGCTCATCTTTCCAGGGAAACAGATGAATGATGACAAGACCGCACGAGACCACAACATTGAGGGAGGATCGGTTCTTCACATGGTGCTTGCCCTTCGTGGGGGAATATGATGCGCTGACCAGCATTTTGTCTCTTCTCTTGCTCGACATCTTCTTCTCTTATGATTTCTACATCTGTGTAGTTGGTAGCTCTTTCCTCATTTGTGGAGTACTTCTTGCATCTTCATTCTTGCTTCATTTCCTTTGGTGCATCATCTGTGGAGTATTATCTCGTGCATCTGCATTCTTGCTTCATTTCCTCTTCAAGAGGACATGGACATTTGTGGAGTTTTTCAACACTGCATTGGCAGCAGCCTGGTAATTGTA